GACCTCCAGCGTCGTGATCTGTACGCAGCGTGGCTGCCCAAAGGTCTGGACCTCTGGACCCCTTCCCGGGCTCCGGCTTCGCATCGTCTCTTGATCGTCCCTGGGGCCCGGTGAGCACCCCAAGAGGCAACAGATGGCCCAAACACCAGTTCGGGGGCGCGCAAACATGGATTAGCGATCCGTGGATTTGGCGCGCGGCCGCCAAATCCATGGATCGGGGGAGGTGCCCTCCCCAGAATGCGGCCGGTGCCGCCTTGATCGGCGACGGACATCCGCGATCTCCCATGGAAATGGGACCCGTCGCTACTCCACGCCCCCCTGATCCAGGTTTGCGATCGCCTGAGTGTACATTGACCCCCGTCTCTTGAGCCGGTTTGTCATTGCGTCGATCCCCAGAATCCTCGACCCATTCCCCAGGACCGGTTTCTCATCCTGAATCGTTTTGTTGACGGTCCCGAGGCCCGGTGATGGTTGACCCTTGCCCTCGATCTTGCTCTTTTCGCCACGCAGGAAGGCCCGAGAGGGGGGATGAGAAAACTGGCTGTCATGCGGGGATGTGGCACGAGGGAGGAGGCGCGGCCCCGGCTCCAGTCTCTTGACTTGACTCCACTTTGGGGGGGTCAAGAACCCTTCCACCTCCTCCTCCTCCTCCTCCTCCTTCTCATCCTCCTCGTCCTCGTCCTCGTCCTCGTCCTCCTCCTCTTCCTCCTCCTCCTCCTCCTCCTCCTCCTCCTCCTCCTCTCCTCACCCTTCTCCCTCCCCCTCTTTCTCCTCCTCTTTCTCCTCCTCCGCTAGTTTCGAAGGGGAGCGACACACGCACAGCTTGTCGAATGCGAAGGTGCTCGAGCACTGGCGCATGGTCCCCTCCTTCGTCGAGCTAAGAATTCACAGGCTTGGATGGTTTGCCTAATGTGTTCAGTATCCCAAAGGTTCTCGCAGATTTTGGCTGCGATGTTCGGCACCTTGCCCACGGACGAACGGCCGCAATTTGATTACATGGGGCACTTGACAGCATATGCTAGCCCGTGGGCAAGGATGTTCGACGCAGATCTGGAGGCGCTGGAGTCTCTTGAGGAAGGTGGAAGACCTCTTGCACGTCTCCAGGGGCCCCTTTCTTGCTCTCTTCTGGGATAAAACGTTGGGACGAGATTTCTGCAAGAGGGCGTCGAAATATCTCCCGGACAGATTATCCAGATCAATAGTGGTCGTGCGTAGTTCGGTCTCCACGAGACTCCACGCTGTCCTCCTCCTCGGTAGCCTCCCGCATCTGTCCCGGCGAAGCCTTTACCAAACCCCCAGGAAGAGCAACCCAGTACTTACCCCTGACATGCCCCACGCAAATACCTGATCGCCATCTGTGCGAAGACTGTTTGCCTGCAGTCGCTCTCTTCATCTTGCGCCACACTGCGACCATCTCGCCTGCCTGAAAAACTCGCTGCGCTCTCGGGCGACAGTCGGGGGCAACCCTAGCAGCCTTCTTCTCATTGTGCGCCAAAACCACCCGACGAGCCACGGCACGGATACTGGCGGCCCGTGCCGCCACTGAGTCATGCAGCGCACAACTTTTTGCTACAATATTCGGGTGATCCTGAAGCAAATCCTCGGGGGGCTCTGGATTTCTGCCGGAACAATATGACATGGGGAAACTCCGTTCACACTGAGCAGTGAGTCCTTTGCTTCCTGGAGCTGCGCGACACATTCAAGCCATTCCTCCTCGTCCTGGGGCTGAACCTCATCGATCATAACCTGCAACAACTGTTCAAACCACCTCCCGTGCACCTCCACCTTCCCAGGCTGTCATTTTGCCATCCCCGCTGTGTCAACCAAAATCGCTCCGCCCCTCACCATCGCATCCTGAAGTTCGCCCGACACATATGCACTCGCAACATCCACCTTCAGCCACTTTGGCCACATGCATGGTCGGGCCCACCTGTCACGGTAGGTACGAGGCAGCACGATTGACGACTCCGCATCTCCAAGCCGGAGTGGAGCCATCACGCGCAGAGACGAGGCATGGCACGCAATGTTGAAGAATTTCCGCCGCTCCCCTCGAAGGTAATACGGGGGCTCTTTCACGCCCATCGCCACTGCTTTCAGGGGAGGCTGTAGACTTGGAGGGGGCACTGTTCCTCGCAATGCCTGGCTGTCGTCGTGATTCGCAGTCGTCGCAGTGGAAATTCGTCGCCTGTCGTATCGCTTCGGGGCTCGCCTTCGCATGTCGGAGATGTCGTAGCATCGTAGCCGTCGTCGCACAACCTACATTCACATGGATCCGTCGTAGCGCAGCCCCAAAACTCTGCGGACGCCGGGGGCGCACCTCATCACCGCCCCCTTCGTCGTCGTCAAGGGCACATACCTCCGCCTCCGATTCCCCCATGATGGATCACACTGGTCTTCGAGAGCCCCTGGGACATCCTCCTGACAAGCTTTGCCGGGTAGATTTGGGTCCAGCGGTGAAGCGAAATGCCGATGCCTGGTAGTGGGCTACCACCCTCAGCCCGCGCATGGGCATGACCACCCTGGCACGGAAATGAAAGCTCGCTTGCCACATCAGGCGATGATGTCACAAACTTCCAGCGCTTGCTCAGGAGGACTCCTGAGATGGGGTGTCTGAGGCCCACGCCGCGCCCACTCGTCGCACCCACATGGGCCCTCGGGTCTTCCAACGGTCGTTGCATGGCCCTCATGCTGTAGGTAGCCGCCGTCGGAGGCGCCTCAAAGATGAAATACCTGCCCCGAGACAGTTGGCGTTCGGCTATCTGAACACACGCGCGCCCCGACATAACGTTTGGCTTCCCGAATATCCCGAAGGTGTCGCTTCAGACCTTTTCGTTTCTCAGCTGGGGTCAGATTCTGAAGGGCCGTCAGCTTTCCACGCGGAGGGCCCGCGATGACAGAAGGGGTTCCCCGTCCTGATGTTCCCCCGCAGTTCCTGCGCATCAGCTTGAACGCGAGCGCCCCGGCCCGTGACCTTGTCGAACGAGCCGAGGTCGCGCGTGCCGTACTGTGGCGCCAACGGGCACACCCTCGATGGCGAGGAGATCTCCATCGCGCCTGGCACCTGGCCCATCGCGCTGAGACCCTGGCAGTCTTCGCCATCCATGGCCTGAGGGCGCCGGCCTGGTCCTACTGAAAAGACTGCTCCATGCCCTCGATCCCCACCTTTGCGTCGTCTACCGTCGCGTCGGGATCCGGACTCCGCTCGAACTCGCGCCCCAGCAAGTCTACCTCGCAGTGTCCACTACCCTCGGCTTCGCGCTCTGGAACCAGCACTTGCAGCCGTCCAAACCATAGGCTGTTCTCGCTCATGTCCAGGTTGGCCTAGACCACGTAGACCAAGAACTCCACCCGTTTCTTCGCCATCGCAATAGGCCATTGGATCCAGCATGCCTTCTTTCCTCGGCAAACCTTTCCGTCGTAACTCTTGAACCTGACAGTCGGCACGCCTTCCTCCCACTCTGGCTGCAGGCCCGTCGCCGTCGCATATTCTGACAAAGCCTGCGGTCCAATCGGGGCCATAACACAGCCCGAGTCGAGAGCACCGCAGCCCGGCGCATGACACGCGCACGCCTCGACGGTATCCTCTTCGTCCTCTGCCTTGTCGATCTCGTCCGCGTCGACGTCTTGTATTCCTGTGCGTCATTCATGAGCCAGCCTCCCGAACCTCTCCTCGATCGTCAGTTTCGCAACGAGGCTAGCCCGACCATCCTTCGACCACGACGTTAGCAGCACATCCACCTCGGACCAGATCTCGTCGTCCTCGATCATGGACTGCGCGGTCAGCACTGGGCTGACCCTGCTGGTACGGCTTCGTCGCGGACTTCTTCGGGAAAGTGTATGGGGGCTTTGTCCGCTTCGGGCAGTCCCGACTGAAACGACCCATGTCCTTGTGCACCCGATCCTTCAACTTCCTGAAACTCGACGCATCGCGGGTTGGTAATCCTCTCTGCAGATTCTCTCTGGTCATCGCAGTTCTCGTCTCCTTCCACGTAGCCAATGCATCGATCGCGTCCTCCTCGTCTATCGGCTTCTCCTCTTCCAGCAACTCGTTGATTTCCGCCTCAAACCTCTTCGTCTAACGTGGCCAGGGCCTCTGCTGCTGGGGAGCTCGCCGATGTCGCGGACCTCTCATCCCACGCATAGACCTCGTGTGCCTGAGCAGCCGGCATCTGCTTCGGATACATTGTCCTGATCGCCGCTGGCATCTCCGGAACGCCCCGCTGACGCTGACTCGCCGCCGGCGCTGCCGCCCGAGACTCCAGGCCCAGCCGCGCTCCCTTCAAGAGCAAGAGCCCTTGTGCCACCGTCGGTAGCTCAACTCCTTCCTTCCGTCCTATGGCGAAGATGGTCCTCGCCCCCCCCCCGCGCACGCAGATGAGGTCTCTCCGCGCTCGATGCACAACCCGAACGTGGCCCCAAGCACGTCGCCAATCTGATCGCTGGCCTCCTTGTCTGGAAATCGTTCTGCTAAGGCCTGCAGGGTCAGATCTGCACCGCCTTCTTGGTTGATGTCTCCAAGCTCCAGGTGTTCGCACGCTTCCTCAGCTTCATCGTCCAATAGCGTCAGCACCAACGGACCCAGAGCCTCAGCTTGTAGCCCACGCGCGGTCTCCACAGGCAACTTCGCGCTGAGCCATCGCCGCCAGCTCTTGGACTCCTGCGCAGCATCACTCCCCTGGCCTGATATAGCACCGTTCGAGCCGTTGTCCGCCATGTTATCGCTGGAGAACTCGATTTGGCTCGAGACCAAAGCAACTCCCACACACCTGAGTACCTCCTAGTACTCAATCTTCTCGCTAATGACCGATCGTCCCCTGAAGCCTTTTCCGAACCTGCGCTCGCCCCGGGGCGCTGGCTCCCTGAAAAGCTTGATCAAGGTTGGTCTGCGGGCGGAGGCACGCGCACGGGCATGCACACACACATACACACGGGGCAACAGGCAAAAAACAATGAAATCCACACATCCTCCTTTTCCCCCCTCGCCCCCTTCTCGGCCCCGCCTGGCTCTCCAGCTGCACGTGGATCCCCAACTCCACGGGCACCGCATGCGGATCGCAGGGCCCCGCGACGGCGTCCTCGCAGTCGCGGACGGTCCTGATCGGGAGTCGCAGGAAGGGGGGAACGGAGCAGGGAGAGGAGGATGAGGAGGATGTGGTGGAAATCTGGAGGATTCTCATGCCGTCAGGAATAAAGAATCAAGGGTCGGAGAGGAGAGGAGGGAGGAGGAGGAGGAGGAGGAGGAGAAGGAGGCGGAGGAGGAGAAGGAGGGAGGAGGGAGGAGGAGAGGGGCAACAGAAAAAGGGAGGAGGAAGGAAGAGAGAAGGCGAGGAGGGACGAGGAGCTGTCGCCGCTGGCGAATGGAAATACGAGAGTGGCCAGGGGAGGCCGACCTGCAGGGACGCCATGCTCCTTCGCACCGCCCTTCCTCCATCCTCCATCCTTCATCTTCCATTGCTCCCTCACCTCCCGACTCCCCCTGTTCCGCACCCGTGAAAGAAGAAAGGAATCTCGTTAGCTGTTTGCTCTAATACGTTTTTTGATGTCCTCTCTCTCTCTCTACCTCTTCGTCTCCCTGGGCATCCGACACTGAGGTTTGTGTGTGTGTGTGCGTGTGTGTGTCACCACCTGGTTCCCAAGAGCTCTGGATCCTCCACTGGGCCACAGGGACGGGCTTTTTGTTTTTGCTCCGAGCAGTTCTTTGACGGCCCCAAGACCCGTCGAGGGCCCCCTGAAGCCGAGGACGGCCCTAGCGCGGTCCGTCGTGCTTCGCATCACGACGCGAATCAACCCGAGAACGCCTTGGGAGGGCACGGCATCCGCCGACCGAACCCCTTGCGCCTGCACTGGCGGGCAGTCGATGGACGGAGCCTGCCGAGGCTCAGGCTCTCTAGGCCCCCTCCTCGCCCCGCTCGCCCCTCGCCGGCCCAAAGCCCCCTCCTGGCTCCTCCTCGAGCGTCCTCTCCTCGCTCCTCCTCGAGGGCCCGCTCCTCCCCAAGCCTTGAAGGTCCCCTCCTCGCTCCTCCTCCAGCGTCCTTTCCACGTCCCCCACGGCGACAGCACAGCCGAAAACCGATCGAACCTGCAGCGAGGCCGGGACCGACGGAGCGGATAGAGAGGCCGCAGGCGACCCCGGAGGGCGCAGCAGCGCTGCAGCGAGGAAGCCAGCCGACCGAGCCGAGCCCACCGAGCGCGGCCGACTGCAGCGCGGCCGAACCGACCGAAGCGCGAACGACCTCGTCCTCGGGCCTCGCTGCCTGGAAGTCCCTTCTCGCTCCTCCCGGGGTGTCCTAGTTTTCCGCGCCTCCCTCGCTCCACCCTCTGCAAGAGAAGGAACAACGGCATAAGCAAAAAAACTTTCGGAGCCCCGCGCGGTTCTCTTGGGATCGGTATTGGACCCCCCTCCCAGGGGTGCGGAGCGCGCCAAGGGCGACACTGGAGGCGCCGCCAAGGGGGACACGCGGGTCGAAGGAATCCGCACGGAGCTCCGAAATACATGTTGATGCAACGTGTTTTTCTTCGATGAGCGTCCTCTCTTTCTGCTCCTCCCACGCACCACGGGACGAGAACGACGTCATGATGCCAGAGTGTCGGGATACATCCCAGGAGCTCTGGAGCACCTATTTCGCGGCCCTCGCCTCCTGAGCCCGTTCAGAACAGCAGAGGAACGGGAAACCTTGGAACGCATATGATTACCATGACCTCGTGCTCCCCCCCAGCGCCCCTCGCGCTGGGAAAAAACACAACGGATGGTCTCAGCACATTCTCGGCCCCAGGGGCCCTCGCTGGGCCCCAGGGCCGCAAAACATCTACTCAGGATGAAAACCGGTCCCGAGGAAGAGACCCAGACCACTGGGGAGCCACGCTGTGACAAAACAAAAACACGATGTCTGCGGTCTGGGAACGCGCGCTGGCCTTCAAGGGCCCATTTAGCGGCCCTAAAGGGCTCCTCTTCTGCAGCCCTCGCTGCACCCCCCGTCCCCAGACCCCCGCCGTCACGACTTTTTCACGATGTCGACCTCCAGAGATTTCGACCTGTTCCCCAACACCCGCTTGTCAACCCGAGACGTCTTTTGACGGCCCCGAGGCCCGGCAAGGTGAGGGGCAACGAGATAGGGGGGGACTGGCGCAGGGAGGGGTGCATCGACCTGGAATCGGCGATACATCGCCGATAGATCGGCGATAGGCCTCTGATAGTGAGTCCGCACCTTCCTGGGCAGGATGGGGCTACCGGGCCCCTGCCGGCGATCAAAGGGCGATTGGGGGTCGATGCATCCCCCCAATGCCTATCCCCCCCAATCTTTGCCCCTGACAAGGGCCCCCTGGAGGCCGAACAGAAAGGCGAAAAACCTCCCGTCATGATTTATTATTTGCTCGAGGGGGCCTGGGTCTGTCGACCCCCGCCACTGCGCGACGCCCAATCGCGTCCTCGAACCTCCAAGGTCCGGCGAGGGCGCGCGACAGGCTTGGACCGGCGACCCCTCGGGCGGCCAAGACTTCCCCCAAAGCGGGGTGCAGCCAGCCCGTAGGAACGAGGACGTACGAAGAGGATGCAAGGACGAGGAGGAGGAGGAGGAGGAGGAGGAGGAGAAGGAGGAGGAGGAGGGAGGAGGGAGGAGCAGGAGGAGGAGGAGGATGCAAGGGCCTTGGAAGGCGACGTCGACACAGTGGAGGCCAGTCCACAAAGAGACCTTCCACAAGAAACCCAACCCCGAAACCCCAGGACGTCCATTGATTTTCGGTGTGGGAGCAACACGCTTTCTATAGCAAAACCCTCGAAACTCAAGAAACTCAGGGCACCCTGGAGGCAACCAGGGTGTTTCTTGGCATGGGTCTCCACTCTATCGCCCCCCCACTACGCGGCGCCCACTCGGTTATCGGACCTCCGAGGTCCGGCGAAAACGCGTCAAAAGCTTGACCGACGACCTCGGCCGGCCCAGACTTCTCCCACAACGGGGTACGGCCAGCCCGTAGAACCAGGACGCACGGGGAGGATGCAAGGGCCTTTGAAGGCGACGTCGACCCTCTGCGAGTGGGGCGCGGCCAGCGAAAGCGGCCAAGGACGGGGCGAGGGGGCCGGCTGCAAGGGTTGCTCCTTCGGGAGCGGCCAAGAGGGGGGTGTCCAAGAGGGGGGGTGCAAAACATGACCGGCGGCATGTGCGCGGCCCAGCGGGGGGGCTAGGGACGTAATGAAATAAGAAGAGGCGCCATGAAATCTGGGGAAATATCATGGCCCCCGCCATGATATCCACCCCCCCTACACCCTGCGAAATGCTTAAGAAATCATGGGTTAAAAGAAATTCAGAGTCTCAGAATTCAATTAAAATCCAGAATTTCTAGCAAAATCTTAGAAATTAAATTGAAACATTTTAAGAATAATCGAGACTCTGGCCGAAAACTTAAGTTTTCTTGAGCATCGCCTAAGGTGTAGTCATCACCCCCCTCTTTTCCGCCCCCGACTCCTCCGTGCTGTGCAGGTTGCCCGTGGCTGCAGCTCTGGGACGGTATGGGGATGGCCGCGCTGCCCTCCCCCGCCGCTCCCCCACTCCCCTGCAGGAGACTATCCGCAGGCGCACCGGGGCGCAGAAGGACCGAAGGGGGGCCGAAGAGACGACCGAAAATCAGGATGGGACCGACCGAAGAAGGGCCGAAAGGGGAAGGCTGCAGGGGTGACCTTGGAGAGTTGCTCCGCCCTCCTGTGCGGGTTGACGTTCCTCGGGGCTCCTCACTCACTCGCAAGCCGTACGCCGTCCGGCGCGTGGGCAGGAACACAGTCTCAAGCAGCGACGCGAATTGAGGGTGAAACGCTGCGCCGGCTGAGCGGATCAAGAGGAGAAGGAGGAGGAGGAGGAGGAGGAGGAGGAGGAGGATGGGCCGAAGGGGAAGGCTGCAGGCTGCAGGGGTGACCTTGGAGAGTTGCTCCGCCCTCCTGTGCGGGCTGACGTTCCTCGGGGCTCCTCCCCCGGAAACTCGGTCGGTCGGCCCGGGTTGGAGAGGGCCGGGATGGCAGGAGGGTGGCTGAGGAGACGACCGAAGATGACGACGTGCCCGACGTCAGGTCCCCCTCCTGCTTCGAGGGGGGCCAAGTAGTGGGGTTGGATAGACGGGGGAGCGGATTCGAACTCATTCCGAAAATCCCCTAGCAGCCTCGCCGAAGATGTCACGAGGGTCTCTCCCAAGCAGGCTGTGGACCCAGGTTCCAAGAAGAAGAAGAAGAAGAGCGTCCCGCGGACAACGACGCTCAGCTGCAGGGTGGCGACCATCTCGCGAGTGATCACCTCCCAAGGCTCTCTGTCTCTCTCTCTCTCTCTTTCTACTTCTCTCTCCGTTTCTCTCTCTCTCTCTCTCTCTCTCTTTCCCTCTCTCCCTCGCTCTCTGTCTCTCTCCGTTGTTCGATCGCCTCTGCACGCAGCATGGCAGACCCAAAGATCGTGATTTGTCCACAACGTGGCTCCCCCGGAGGCCTCGACTCCCTCCTCGGGCAGCGGCTTCCCACCCCGGGCAACAAAACCCACCCGTCGTAGTTCTTTCGGCGACGCGCGGACGCCTGGGTCGGGCACGCGCTAGCGTGGATTGCGGATCCGTAGGTCAGGCGCGCGGGCACCAAATCCACGGATCGGGGCAGGCACCCCACGAAACATGAGGCCAGCGCCGTCCGATTTAGCGACGAGGCGCGTCCATTGCGTATGGGAACGGGGTCCGTCGCTAATCCACGCGCCTTGGATACGATTCGCGCTTCCTTCAGGAACGCTTCCTTGGGGAAGCAAGCAATGACATGAACATGAAAACAAAAAAACGGGAGGTCCGCGCGGATATCTCGGATCGGCGCTGGACCTCTTTCCCTGGCGCCAGGAGCGCGCCAAGGGCGGCGCCAGAGACGCCTCCAGGGGGCCCCAGCGCCGATCCGAGGAATCCGCGCGGGCCTCTGAATACTGATGCTTATGTCATCCTCTGTTCCCCCATTCCTCCTCCACGCCCCCCGGCCCTAGCGCAAGCCTCCTCTCGGGGGGGCCACCCAGAAGCTTTCGGGAGGGCCCCCCGCACGGCTCCGAGCATGCACAGAAGGGTCTCTGGGCGTCCCTCCGTACCTCCTCCTGCGTACTTCCCATAGGCGCTCTCGGGTCGGACGAAAGGGGTGGACACCAGGGGGACAAGCAATCACACAAACATAACAACTCGGAGGTCCGCGTGGCTTTCTCGGATCGGCGCTGGAGACCCCTGGCGGCGCCTCCAGCGCCAGCCCTGGCGCGCTCCGCGCGCCAGAGAGGGCGGCACACCACCGATCCAAGAAAATCCGTGCGGGCCTCCGGGACATGTGCGAAGACATTCGACGCCTACCAAATGGGGTCGGAGTAGATGGGGTCGGAAGATCGCGCCGCATCGCCGATACATCGACGATGCATCGGCGATGTATCGGCGATGCATCGGCGATGCACCGGCGATGCACCGGCGATGCATCGTCGACGTCGGCGATGCATCGGCGACGTCGACGTGAAGCAACTCGGGCTCCACATCGAGCCGCATCGCCGATGCATCGGCGATGCGGCGCGATCCTGTTGCTCCATCTACTCCGACCCCATCTAGAAGGCCTAGAGACATGGGGCGGAGGCAACCCCGTGCCGGGGCAGGCGCCCCGCGGATGGACGAATGGATGGATGGACGGCCGTGAACAATCCGATGACTCCTCATCAACGTCCCTATGTTTAAAACCCTCATGAATCTACACCCCCATGATCTAGATCCCCTCGGAACTGTCAGGAGACAGGCGCCCCGCGGCGGGGCTCGGGGATCTTCTGACCCGGGTCAATCCAGACCCGGGTCAGTCAGCCCTTGCAAAACCCTGCAAGATCCTGCAAAATCCTGCGCCCAAGCCCGGGTCAGTGCGAGGTATCCTGCAAGATCCTGCAGGATCCTGCACCCAGGCCCGGGTCAATGCGACCCTGGCCCTGCAGGATCCTGCAAAATCGGGCGCTCTGGCTGACCCACGTTTGCATTGACCCCCGTCACCAGGCTCCCGAAGGGCCGAAACCATCTGTACGCCGGACCCGACCCTCTACCGCCCGGGCCGGTCGACCGCGAGCCCCCAGGGGGGAAGCCCCGAGGAAACGCCGACCCGCACAGGAAGGCGGAACAACTCTCCAAGGTCACCCCTGCAGCCTTCCCCTTCGGCACATCCTTCTCCTCATCCCCCTCCCCCTCCCCCTCCTCCTATCCTCCTCCTCCACCTCCTCCGCCTCCTCCTCCTGCTCCTCCTCCTCCTACTCCTCCTCCTCCTCCCCTTGATCCACTTCGCCGGCGCAGCGTTTCACCCTCCATTTCGCGTCGCTGCTTGAGACTGTGTTCCTGCCCACGCGCCGGACGGCGTATGGCGTGTGAGGGAGTGAGCGAACCCCGCCCGCAGAGTGTCGACGTGGCCTTCCAAAGCCCTTGCATCCTTCTCGTGCGTTCTTATTATACGGGCTGACTGTACCCAGTTGGGGGGCCCATGTGCCAAGACGCCCTACGTTGACAGCCTTGGTTTTGATGTCCTCTCGCAGCACAGGTTGTACGAAGACAGAACAAAAGAACACGAACAACACGAACAACTAAAAAAGCATGGTCCTCCAAGACCCTTGCATCCTTCTCGTGCCCCCTACTATACAGGCTGGCTGTGCGTAGACAGAGGCCTCCCAGATGGGGTCCGAGTAGATGGGGTCGAAGGATCGCGCCACATCGCCAATGCATCGCCGATGCATCGGCGACGCCGCCGTGGATAAACACGGGCCCCACATCGAGCCGCATCGCTGATGCATCGGCGATGCGGCGCAATCCTCCGACCCCATCTGCTCGGACCCCATCTGGGAGGCCTTGAGATAGGTCGGGCACGTCCCACTACAGGCGGATTCCGGGAAAAAAAAAAAAAAAAAATCAACAATGCTCACTAATGTTGGAAAATGATAGCACGTATCAGCCAGCGTTGACTCCAAACCGACTAGGCGAGTCAAATCAAAGGATCAGAGGAGTCGAGCATGCTTGGAATCCGCAACTCAGCAAGCAAGCGCGCGTGCAAGTAAGTGCGCAAGCGCGCAAGCAAGCAAGCGCGCAAGCAATCAAGCAAGCAAGCAAGGAAGCAAGCATTCATAACGGGGCGCCATTGGGAAAAAGGGGGATCGGCATAGGCATCGGCATAACCATAGGAATTAGGAGGGGAACATAGGAATTAGGGGCGTGGAGGGCAACGGACCAATTCGTAGGGTTTGAGCTAGGACTCCTATGGGGCAAGCCTATTTGGAGAACAAAAGGATCTCCATCCTATGTTGTGACTATGTTTGAATAATCTTCGTGGAGAAGGACATGTCCGACCTAAGCCTAGCGTAGGGGGTGCGCCCGCCAGCCACCGCGCCCGCGGGGGCGGGCGGGAAACGACAGTTCTGTTCTTCCCATCGAATTTTTGCAGACCACATCCCACAAAACATATCACCAGCCCTTTGGGCGACAAATGGTCTAACGATATTCCTCTTGCCTTTTCCAAAAAAATGCTCCCTATTAATATACACCCCCTCCCCCAGGCGACCGGGAGCCAACCCGGGTCAATGAGGGCCCCCCCCACCATCCCGGGTAAAAAGCATACAATACAAAACACACTCTGCCTCCAAATTCGGAGCATGCGCAGCGAACCCGATGCGGCCTCCCCCCACCATCCCGAACAAAACACAACACAGAATACACTTGGCGGCGGCGGCGGCTGCGGCGGCGGCGGGGGCAGCGGCTGCGGCGGCTGCGGCGGTGGCGGCGGCGGTGGCGGCGGCGGCGGCGGCGGGGGCGGCGGCGGCGGCGGCGGCGGTGGCGGCGGCGGCAACGGTGGCGGCAGCGGCTGCGGCGGCAACGGCTGCGGCGGCGGCGATTCAGCAGCGGGGCGGCGGCGGCGGCGGCGGCGGCGGCGGCGGCGGGGCGGCGGCGGCGGCGGCGGCGGGGCGGCGGCGGCGGCGCGGATTCGCCCCCAGTAGCTGCCCATCCAAAGACGACTGCTGAATATGCTGCGGTTCGGGCCCAACTCGGGTGCTGCGTTTGTGTTGGGAAGGCGAGCGGGAGTGAGCGAGACGGCTTGCGGGGGGGAGGGAGTCTGGACCCCTCCCCTGGCCCTCCCCTGGACTTTTTCGCCCCCCCCTCCCCCCCGCGAGGTGTCACGGCGTCCAAAATGTCCCCGGCGAGGAAACCAACATCACTGGTTTTACTAAGGGTTTGGCCCCATGTTGGCCTCTTTGGGGGGGAGCGAAAGTGGCCCCACCAGCCCTCTGGGCGCCCAAATCATTGGTTTTACTCACGTGTTGGACCCATGGTGGCCTCTTTTGGGAGGGGTGAACGTTGTCCCACCAGCCCTCCAGGCGCCAAAATCATTGGTTCGACTAAGGTGTTGGCACCATGTTGGCCTCCTTGGGGGGGGGCCGAACGTTATCCCAGCTCCTCCTTCTGATCGATGGCCCAAGCCGGCACCGAGAGGTCTTCCAGGGCTCCCAAGATGGCCCCAAGAGAGCCCAAAGAGGGCATCAAGACGGCCCAAGAAGCCTCCACAACGCCCGAGATGGCCTCCAAAACTGCCAAGATGGCCCCCAGATGCCGCTAAAAAGGCCCAGAGATGCACCCACGACGGCTTGAGATGGCCTCGAGATGGCCAAAGACTGCCCAACAAGCCCCCAAGAGGCCTCCAAGACGGCCCAAGAGGCCTCCAAGAGGTCCCCCAGGAGGGCCCGAACAGGCCAACATCATTGATGTGCCCAAATGGCGTCCAGGAGGCCTTCCAGGAGGGCGCGGAGAGGCCAACATCACTGATGTTCCTAAGGCTTGTTTCGAAGATATTGGCAGTTGTTTCTTTTCGGCATTCCGACGGCTCAAGTCGGCGCAAGAGGCGGACACGCGCAGGAGGCCCCCAACATCGCCCAAGAGGCCTCCGATATGGCCCCATGACGGCCCCAAAAGGCGCCCAAGACGGCCCAAAACGGCCCCAAAACGACCCGCGAGGCCTCCAATATGCCCAAAAAGGCATGTAAGACCCCTGATATGCCCCAAGAGGGCCCCAAAACGACCCAGACAGGCCCCCAAGACGGCTTCCGACGGCGCCAGACAAGCCAAGAACGCACTAAGACTGCCAAAGAGGCACCAAAAAAAACCCTAAAAACCCTTCCAAGAGGCCCCCAGGGAGCTGCCAAAAAAACCAAATAGTGCCCCCAGAGGCCTCCTCCTTCTCCTCCTCTTCCTCTTCCTCTTCCTCCTCTTCCCCCCCCCCTCCCCCTCCCTCCCT